TACGAAAACAACAACAACAACTACTACTGCTGCTGCTGCTGCTGCTACTACTACTACTACTACTACCACCGCCGATGATTGTGCACGACGTGCATAGGGGAATATGACGGGTCTGCGAGACAGCACGAGTTCTCGACGGTAATGCAATGGGAACTTGAATCTACCAGATTGAACACTTCTGCAGTAGACAGAATGGAGGCTTGCCGCCCGAGGCCGCGGGCAAAAGTGTGGAACACTAGCTAGCTCCTTGATGAAAGTGGGCTTCTTAAGCTACGGGCCTTGCAGAGCCCTCTCAGGTCTCCAGGACCGAGATCACAGGCACTCTTTCGTCATTTTCTCAGATCTGCTAGTGCGACACTCTGGCACACACTTATGAGTGCACCCTCCTGCTGAGCTTCGGCTGATGTCACTGTTCAGCAGGAAAAATTCGGAGGTACCGTGGCACACGGGAGTGGGACGGAAGGTGTCTCCAAGTGGATTCCTCCCCACATCACCAGATGAATTGAGAGATTTACAGGCACTGTCCCTCGTTTGAGGCTCACAGTGCCGGCTGGCTTACGCTTGCCTGTATCTTCGCGCTGCTAGCTGAGAACCAGCGACCCATCAGTCGCAGAAAGCACGAAGTCGTCGCTACCATCAGGGAGAAACACGACGTCAAACAACTTGTAGGTCTGGAAGCTGCCTTGTGATGTCGATCACTCATGCCGTTCTTATGTACTTCCCATGTGTCTGATGTTGGCTTGTGATGCAACTGCTCGCAGTCAGACGGGTCCTGATTGATGACTCCTGTTTCGAAGCCGCGAAAGGGTCGGCAAATGTGGCAATAACCTATCTCCGATTCTTGTGGAGCTCTCATGTCAGTGCCTCTTTCTTCAAGGAATGCTGCATGTCTTGCATTTGCTGCCTGCGTGAACAGCCCTTCAATTTGGAGAATCAGTTTTGCGTGCTTCCTAACATCTTCTTGCATCATGTTGCCAGTGTCGATGCCTTCTGTGTAGACGGTGCCAGAAAAGCATTTGACCTGTCTGCCATGATCTTTTCCAGCTCGGGGCCATACTTCTCCTTGATATACCTCAGCAATGCAGGGTTCCTCTCCAGTGGAAACAAATGAAGGTCCTCTGAAGGCTCATGCGGCCTAGGCATCTCTTTGTTGCCGCAGATCCTTGGAGACTAATGTTGAAATATGGTGGGCGAGACTCGCTACAGCTAAGGCCAGGTTGATCAGTGCACTACTTCATCTGAAATATCTGCCAAGCTACGCTGGACAAAAGAGTGTCACCTACGTGTGCTTGGAAATCCTTCTGTGCGAGCCCCATACCGCGAGGAAGTTGCAGAATCCGCAGAAGCCTCTGAAATGATTAGTCAGTTGCAACAAAATGCTGAGTGCGAGCCCATGATGCGTTCTTGTCGGCTTGCAGAAATCCATGTCTATGAGCTCGCAATCGTGAGGCAAGCCTCCCATGGTTGGTATTGGCTGTGAGGAACAGCATGTGATGGACGCATCCGACGCGTGCTTGACGGGCTGACTGTGCGCGTATGTAGCAAAATAAGTTCATGTAAGGTGTCCGAGAAGCAGGCTTGACAGCTTTAGTGGTGAGCCTATTCCAGCACGGATCCGTAGCATCTCCGATCTGGACTTTGTGGCACCTTCCACATCCAAGCACATTCGTCACATGTGGGAAACATGCAAAAGCTGCATCCAATCGACTTCGTCATGCGAGAAACAGGTGCAAGTTTTGCCAGCCAGCGCACGGCTTTGATATGCGCTGACTCGTGAGACTTGTTTCGTTTCGATCAAGATGCTTGCGGATAGCAAGCACAGAAACAACAGTCGCCTACGGGCCTACGCTGCTGCGCTGCTAGGATGAAGCACGGAACAGCATGTAAAAGCCTGCCTTCCACATCCAAGAGATGCTCCTGGATGCAAGCCTTCACCTCAGCGGCATGAAAGTCTTGAATCTCCCTTCACGGCAGCCGAACGCCGACATGCCGTTGGCACATGCCAGGTGCAGGAAGCATGCGGACACGTCGCTCCGAATGTGTCCGCCACAAACGGGGTGTCTCTGCCCGACCGCAAGGCTAATGCTTTGTCGCAAAGCTCGAGGGCCTCGCTAAGCATGTCATGCTGCGCCTGACAGCGAAAGCTTGAAGGGCAACCATCAACGACGACAGAACAAAACCGGATGAGCGCATCCAGCCGGCACCGCCTTGTTGTAGGCCAGTATGGTGATGACATACCTCGTCAGACTCTCTGCTACTGGTAGTCTGACTACCGAGTCGCCAGGCTGAAGGTTCATGTTAAGGTTTTTGGATTTGCGGGGATTACGTTGAAGAGCGACGTCGGGGCCTCTGCAAGAATTAAGCAGACCCCGCTTCAACCGCAGAAGCGGAGACAGATAACTTTAGCATGGCAAAAACACAAGATGCTGCTGGCTCGTCAACATTATCGCCTGGGCACCGGCCGAAGTGGTGAGAGACACACGGACTTCCCCCCTGCTGCTAAGACGACTCTCGGCCGGGCCGAGGTGGACGACGCGAAGCGTTTGCCAGTACAGAATTGACTTGCAGAAAATGTGATGCTTTATGGCTGTATCTACTTGTCTTTGTGTTTATATACATATATATGTACGCACACGCACATGTATGCTGCAATTACATTGTAATAGTTACATGCACACAACTGGTGCATGTCGACGCAGCAAGGTTTGCAACTCAGCTTTAAGTCTTCGACTCCTGCCTTCCGCCTGCATCATCCTGTATCCCTTGGGCCGAGAGCTGGTAGAACTCCGAGCCGTAGTTCACGAGAGCAGCGAATTCTGATCGTCTCTAGGAGCAGTAGTGACGAGACTCATCGAAACATGGAGCAAAGACCCCCAGTCTGAAGCCGAAGCGCATGCCCCATGCGCGGGACTCAAGTTGGAGCTCTTCGCATAGCTGGGCTTGTGCCAGGCAAGTCTCCTATCAGTGCAGAGATGCTTCTGCGGGATGCCTGTTGAAGAAAGGCTTCGAATGTCCAATGCACCTGCAAATGGAATTGGTGTGCAGCCTGTTGTCGAGCTGTGTGCGTCAGCTCGTCCGTCTTGCTGTCTAGTGAGTGTTAGTCGTTATGCGTGTGCTGATAATTTCGTTTCCTGTCCCATGCTTTCCAAATGCATCTCATCATCCCTTAGCTCAGGCCACGCTGCTCAAAGCATGCGCATGGTTGCCAGCCCTGAACCGGCTTGCTGAACTTGGCCCTTGGAATCTGAGCCCCATTCCCAAACCCTAAACCCTGAAATCGTCAAATCGGGAAGGCCGGCCCCCAGCTGTCCCCAAAGGAGCCCGGAGCTCTTTGCCTCTCCTGGTCGAGGGGCTGCTGCACCACGAGCATTGGGCCGATGCTTGCGCAGGATACGGGCGTCGAGTGAGTACGACGGAGCTCGACCACCTGAAACGGGCAGATGTGATATGGGATCTATCATGCTCCAGACTATCCTTTAAGCCTGGAGGGGCCTTAGTGCAAAGCTAGCGCCTTCCGGTAGTAATCGGTTGCTGCCCGGATGTCGCCGACATCCGCATAAGCAAAAGCACTGTCCAGCAGCAGAGGTAGCTCGTGCTTTGGATGACCACTGCCATGCAGTCGAAAGAGCCGATCGGCCTCTGCGAGGTGACCTAAGTTGAACTTTCATAAACCGCTGTTCTGTACAGTCACATGCATACATAGCGCAATATGGCGCATACCTGCAACCCATGCTTGTGGCATCACGCTATGCCATTTCTATGTCATCTTCGCAGTCCTGCCATTGACATGCTATCAGGTCGGGCGGCCGAGGGCAGTCCCAGAGTCGCCTTGGTACAAGGCCAAAGCGCCGAGAGAAGTGAAGACGTTGATGGCCTGGGCAGAAATCAGAAGTACAAGACAGAAGTACAAGACCTAATTGATACACTATACTATGCTATGCTATACTAGACTCTATTCTACTAACAAGCATTACAAGCATATCCTCATCGGACCAAGCTGGGTAGAGCTAAGAGAATGCCAGCGCTGCTTTGCAGACTGCGAAGTCTTTCTGGTCAACCCTAAACCCTAGCTTTCCAAACTGCTCTTACTGCCAAGGCAAGGCGAGCGGGGCCTGACGAGGCGGAGCGCTGGCCAGACCCTTCTGTGCATCTTGCCTCGAATTCGCGACTGTTCTAACTCAAGAAGACGTGTGCCCCCACAGCTTCCAAGTTTCAGAAGAACGAGGTCCATTGCAAACTGCGAGCTTCTGGGAAGCAAGGGGTCCAGGCTGGCATGTCTGGCTACCCTCAGAGTGCCGCTGGCGCGGCTCACGGGCATCAGATGCAGGCACGATGCAGGTGCACTGCAGCCTGGCTCAGGTCACCCTGACGCGGCAGCAGCGCTCCAATTGCAGCATTGAAATCCACAACGGCCTCTCTGAGGGGATCTCGATTACGCTTGAGTTATGCTTCACATTTCCGGACAGTCCTGGAACACGGTTTTTCAGACTTCCAGCACGGAGACTATACTAACCTCGGGTGAAAAGCACGGTAATAACAGACTTGTGGCTTTGCTACTGTGTTTTCTTCTTGCAGAGCTGCTACTCGTATGTCTGATGAACTTTCTCAACAGGTCGTGCGACCCAATCCTTCTCACTGCCGCGCGTCCCTCATATCTCTTAACCCCGAAAGCCAACATCTCCAAACCCCAAACCTTACTTCCTAAACCCGCTTCACAACAATGCGCCTCCAAAGAGCTTTTGGCTTGCGCTTCCTTCAGGGCACATCGGAGCAGCCGAATCGCGCGACAGACCTCAAGGCAAAACAACGAGAGACTATGGGAACTAAGAGGACAAAGATCCTGCAACGTTCGATGTCCCTGAACCCTGAAAACCCCGAAATACCCAAAAGCCTCTCAAAAGCCCTGAACAACGCCCACGTCCTTGCGGCCCTGAAGACTAGAAAGCAACTCAACTCCAAAAACGCTGCCTGGCCATGGTCTGCTAACATGTGGGCAACTTGAAGGATACCGCAGCGGGGCCTGTTCAAGGACGTGTTTAGGGTCAGAAAGGTTCCGGGTGTTTCGAGAGGTTTATGAGGCTCAGAAGGTACAGACTTTTTGGGCTTGCCGTTTCGGGCTTTCGGGTTGTAGGTTTCTGTTCATGTCTAGGGTCAGGCTTCAGGGTTTCGGGCTCGGTAAAGCTCAGCTGCGGCAGTCGGAGACTTCCATATGATGCTTTGCTTGATAGTCTGTCTGGTGCTTGGTAGGGAATGGGGGAATGGGTTATAGGGACTACTATAAGGGACCTTAAGGGACTATCATAGGGATCCATTCCCCCATTCCCTACTAAGCACCAGACAGTAGTGTCCGCAAACTCTAGAAATCTGCTGTTCAGTTTGCCCCCTGGTTTTCGCCCGCCAGCCTCGCACAAAGATCTTTCTCTATGTACTGCACGGACATCGATGCTTCATCCTCTGCTCGGGCCAGAAACCTTTGCGAATGTCGAGACGGATTCATTTTTGCATCAAAGTATTTGTGCTTTATCTCGTCTTGTGTGCACCTCTGGCATGCTGTTGCTGTCTCCTCTTGATTCGAGTCCTTGACATAAGTGAAGGCATTCTGACTGATGAAACAAGGGGAACTGCATTGTTCCAGCTAGTTCTGCAAGTTCCAAGAGTCTTGCCCGGATCAATTTGCAGGCTAAGCTGCCAGAAGCGAAGGTTCCGGCGGAGACGCTCGTTGAGGTTGTGCAGGCCAATCCCTTGCTCCACACAGCGCATGATGTTGGCCTTCCGGTCTCAAGACATGTTGGGCTGTCAGACTCCAGGCACCTGCGAGTGGTGCCTTGTCTGCCTCCACGGATGCTTCCGCACGCAGCACGCACACTCCTTACGTCTTCCAACACAGACCTGTGTCGCCAAGACCACGTAGAGCAACAACAAGAAACGGCTTTCTGGTCTTGCTATGCTCTCATGGAGCCGAGGCACTGGAGAGGATGGCACGCAGTTCCTGCAAGTGACTTGGGATCAGAGCATCACGGGCATCGAGCGCCCAACTTGTGCATGGATCTTTGTGTAGATAAACATGAAAATGTGTGAAAACGTATATGTGTGAAACACACACATGTTAGCCATTACCCATTACCCGGTCATTACCTACTCCAAACGGTCTATTGTAGATGCCGTGCCATGTCCACGAGAAAGCCCTCCGCTCCCATCTCCTGCAGGGCATCGCAACGGCTCATCAACGCTTCGGTAAAGCCTTTAGCTTCCCGCGGCGGCATGAGAACTTCGAGTCGGCAGTCCTTCAAGAACGCAAGTTTCACGTTGGATTGTTGGTTGGGCTTTGCGTTTGGGAAGTAGCACTGCGAGGCTAAGAGTGAGGCGGACACTACAAGGCGAAAACTGCAATCCGTCAGTCAATCTGGACTTCTGGTAGTGTGACTCGACCGTAGCAGCTGCTGCAGAGTTGTGGCACACGCATTGCCTCGATGTTCAGTGCGACGGACATCTCATACAAGCACCACGCCCTGCTGACGTACCTGCACAGTGTGTGTGTGTGTGCTTTACAGTGCAGTGGCCTACGCCCCGAAGGGTGGCTTGCTGCACCAACGGGCCGCCGAAGCGGAAAGAAAAGGAGCGAGCACTTTTGCAGTAAGCACAGTCAGCCAGCGCAGCTGACTTAAAGCATCTCGAAGCACCATTGCAACCTCCGG